AGCTTTATGTAAATTAAGACAGATAGGCTTATTTTCTTTCACCGCACGAATGAAATCTTTCACCTGTTACTTTTACACTGTATCGCTTGATATGTGTCTGATTGTATTCCCTCTCGGTCGCATGTGTTGTCTCTGCTTGACACTTCCTCCCCCTCATGGTAGGTGGTACAACGGCTGTTGTGAAAGCAGGAGCCATTTCCAAGATGGCCAAAATAGGATCTGTTTCGCTAAGCTGGTCAAATGAGAAAGTAGAAACCTGCTGGTCAAGTGACTCTGGCACCGTACTGCCTCTATTATAGCAGTGCTAAAGAGATCAAAATTGTCTGTGTGAATGAACGGATCCCACAATTAACATTACTTGGGCACAAATTGATTTTAGAGGTTCGCAAACAGCTATCTGTAACATCCCATGTAGTCAGACACAATACAGTTTCTAGGCTGCGGTAAACAGTCTGGCAAAAAATGGTGCAGAATAATTTTTAAATCTGTTTGAGTTAATTGTGATAGTTGTGGGACAGTAAACAAATTATTTGTTTGAGAAAAACAAACAATCAAACAACAAAAGCCAATTAATTTCCACAATACTGTCGGAATAGTCATGTAAACAGAAGTATTACTGGGGGATCAGTTTATGTAATTACTTTACGTTGGCAATATTGTTATGCGTAAACATAACCAGATTAATTGAATGCAACCTTATCAAACAGTAAAAGTGATGAAGGCAACCAAACTATTGCATTATATTTTAATTGAAACTGTGGTGATTGACTAAATTGTTGGCTTTTAATAGAACACTACTCCTCAATCATTGTAAACAAAAACAAAAAAGGTTTAAATATCTATACTAAAATCTTTAACTGCATGCTTCAAGCTTCAACTGCATATTCATTTATTTATTATACTAGATAGACAGTACAGTGTTTACAAGTATTTTGGTCTACTGTGTATTTCAAAATATGCACGACCACGAACACTTAGAGTACAAGTTTCCCTCTATAAAGAGTCACCCCAGTCCATCTACGCATTGCAAATACACCACACCGCTGCTTTTATAGTTGATAAGATGAGATGTGTGATCGTCTCTTTCACTTGTCAAAGACATAACTCTATTTGTGCCTCCATGCTGTTCAGACACCCCAGACATAGGCACCAACCATGAACTAAACCCACTGCTGAAAGCCTTGACAAAAACGGTTATCACTTTTGGTTCTTTCTCGATTTAGTTTGGAATTCAGCAGATCACTCTTAACCTGTCTGCATTTAGATGAGTAAGGTCACTTCATTTGTGACTCATGCCAAGTTTGTGCCAACGACATGCGTCCAGTAGAGACCGGATCCAGTTTCACTCATAAATGCACTGAGGTACAGTTATACAGAAAAACAGAAAACTGTTGTTTCTGGTTAATTCATCAAAACCATGAACCTAAACGGCCATTTTTGTCACAAGCAATATCCTAAACAGAACAATATAAATAATATCCAGACCAACTGAATGACGACTGAAGTGTAATTTTGTTTGTGTACTGAGCAGAAGACCAATATTTTACAATTAAAAGACAAAATAACATTGTGTAAACTCATACTGTCTATTTCTACTATAATCTACATCTGCATAGGTTCTGTAGATATGAAAATACTACTTCAATGGGACAGTGTGGGATGTAAAATAGCGTGCGCTCAATAACGAACAATTTGTGAAAAGAAATGTGACTGATTTGGCACTGCAGTTCTCTGAAAAGAAGCATATGGTGTGGAATCTTTTTCTTTTTTTTTTTTCTTTTTTTTTTACATTACATAACTTTTCAACCTTGAAGAATCTGCAAACCAGTACAGCTATTTCTTATCCACATCTACTACTAACAGTACGTCATCTCTTCTTCTGCTATAACTATAATTTAACCGACACCTAATCAAGCAGTAGTAACTATTTTGTGGACATCTGTGGCAGTTCATCATTAAAATGTATTAAAACCAGCTAGATTAATGATTTAATCTGGGCGAAGCCTATACGTTACCATGTGTAAAATGCATGTAAAATATGTAGGAGAGAGGCCAAATGTATGCATCTACATATCAGATTATTGCAAACAAAAAATATCTTGCTCTAAATCTCTGCACAGACTCTCCTGCCTCTGCCTTATCTTTCTATTTTCTGCCTGTCTTACCCTGTCTCAATGCATTTTCAGTGCTGTTGGATAAAGTGAAAATTATTCATGAAAACCAAGTCAATAATGGCTATCTCTAACATCTTGGCTGTACTCACGCATATACCTTATTGTCAAACTCAAACTTTCCTGCAACAGGTCCAGACTCACATGCTTTTTTTCATTCCGTAGATGATAATATCAATATATCTACACACAATAAACAAAGTAACGTATAACAAGGTTTTTCATTTTCACTGCATAACAAAACTTTTGAAGATTGTTTCAGAAGATTTCCTTCTCCAATTGTTTAGAAGCTCCAATAGAGAGCAGAACATGCTCCACTATAAAATGTAGGTGCGGTTTAATGCTATTTAAGAGTCTATTATGCATCTGTTTTCTTCTTTTGAGATTTCAAATTATTGATTATATAGCATTGTGCGCCTTATCACCTCTGCCAATGACATGGAGCCTCTGTGGAGGTTATGTGTTCAGTGTCCTTTGCCTGTCAGCAGGATTACACACAACCTACCGATCTGAATGTCATGAAACTTAGTGGAGAGGTGGTACATGGGCAAAAAAAGAAAAAAAAAAAATCCATTAAATTTCGATGCGAATCCGGATCAGTTTATTTAAAAGTGCGAGATAGGGCATTGACCTTGGTGGACGTCTGCTCTCTTCAAGTGCACTTCCTCTGGAGATAAAAATGAATTTGATGCCATACCAACAAAACTTTTTTTTGAAATTACTTTTCAAATATGCAGTCTTCTTATGAGTAAGAATAAAAATACTAACGTAATTTATGACAGAGACAGATTTATTAAGGAATATAGTATTTGGAAACATGAAATATGCTTAACTTTAAGAATTAATCACATCTACTTAACTGTGAAAGTGAAATTTTCTTTTTCATACTTGACATTAAAATTCACCGATCCTCATTAACTATTCTAATTGCATTCCAATTCTGTGTCAATTGGGAGAGTATTGTTGTGGGATTTTCAAAATTGAACAAATGGCAAAACTGGGGATATGATTAGGATGGTTAAATCTGATTTAAGCTTCACTAATGAGACTAGAAAATATGATGTGTAAACTGAATTCATGAATATGCTGAACAATCTTGTGTAAAACTCAACCCAATGAAGACTGGAAGCCCAAGCTGTCTGCACATTAGTAGCCCAAGTTCTCCCTGCATTTTGGACGCCTAAGCTCTCCATACAACAGGACCCCCAGCTTTCTGTATGTGTGGGTGAGGTGAAATCAAGGTCACCAGGGCCTGGCAGAGAGGGGGTTTCCAGGGTGGGTGTAACTTCCCAGTTGCTGGGACGGGAAAGAAGAGCACCCCAGTTATGAGGGTTGGATTACACTGTCAAGTATACATTAATGCTGACTAATGTTTTTAACTGGAACCAAAGAAAATGGGTTGGGTTTTCATGGGTAGGAGAGTTGTGAGAAGTTGCATAACTTTGTAAGGAAATGTATCACTTTGTTCGCTAGTTAAAATGTCGAGATTTTGCTCATGTTTGTTCTTGGGGCCTCTGTATTAGACTCTGAAGACTGTTTAACTCAAAATACTTAGATAAGACGTGAATTTTTTGATCACATATTTGACAAAGCTGCCTTATCATCACTGGCCCATATACACACACACATATATATATATATATATATACGTATGTATGCGTGCATGCATGTGCGTGCAAAGAGGCCCCTGAGACAGTCCAGAACATAGTAGCAGGATGCAAGATACAAGCTGGGACACGGTAGAACGAGAGGCACAACCAAGTGGCCGGGATAGTGTACAGGAACATCTGTGCCGTGTATTGACTACAAGTCCCCAAGTCCCGATGGGACACACCACCGAAAGTGGCTGAGAACAACAGAGCTGAGATCCTGTGGGACTTCAAGTTCCAGACTGACAAGCAGCTGTTGGCTAACCAACCAGACATAGAGGTGGTCGACAAGGGGCAGAGGAGGGCAGTTGTGGTGGACTGCGGCAATCCCAGCGGACAGTAATATCAGGTGGAAAGAGCGAGTGGTACCAGTGGCTTCAAAAACAATTAGAACAGATGTGGAAGGTGATCCCAGTAGTAATCAGAGATATACGGGCTGTGAACTCCAAACTGTGAGTGTGACATCAATCAGACTCCAGGTACAACATCTGAGGTCTCAGTCCAGAAGAGTGGTCTTACATACTGCTAAGATACACTATCTACACACACACAGGCGCACGCGCACACACATGTGTGTGTGTGTGTGTGTGTATATATACACGCATGTGTGTGTTTTCCTTAAACCTTTAAAGGAAGGACAAAAACACATTTGATGCCTGTTTATGTCAAGTCTTCAGCATAGTTAAATCACTTAATAGATGCTACTAACAGAGTAGCTGACTAGTGAAATCAGTGGTCACGTTTCATGACTACACTTGATAGAACATCTCTATTTTAAATCTCTGACTTTATACTCGATTAATAGTATCCCCTCCAACAGCAACAAGCGCTTGACTTGAGCATTAACCAAATTAATAAATGATGGTATGATGTACATTCACACATTTGTGTTTCCATGGCTGATTTAATGTAATAAGCGTTGGCATGGCGACAGCAAGAGGCCACATACTCCATCACTAAATGTTTGTCCTTGGTATTATTAGCTGTAATGAATAATAAATAGTGCTAAAGATTGCTGAGCAGTGTTCTACATTAAATGGCTGGGTTTTACACTGTCCTTACTTTCTTCCAGTATAGTCTCGACTTGTGCAGAATAAATATTTGATGCTGTGTTGTAAGTTCTTCCAACATCTCACGGTACTACCTGTGCTACCTTACTGTGGGAGCAGAGATGACTCACCCTCAGGCGCGTCTGCATCACATATCCTTGTGGTGCCAAAAGTAACATTCCCAGGACCTGGTGAGGGCATCTGAGTCTGATCGAAAAACACAAGAGCCATGTAAGTGTTGAGCGCAGGAACATGACAAACCACTTTATGCAGTACCAGAAGTAGGAATATAGCCATAATCTCTGGAAATCTATATTACCAGAACAATATCAACAACAACAGCTTTTCACTCATAAATTATAGAGTGACTAAGTTTTGCAAAGTAATCTCAAGACGGTTAGTTCCAAAAAATGCTGCGAGTTTTGCCTTGGCTGAACTGAATAAACATCATTTGGATCCGAACAAAGCAATATGTATATAAGCTTTTTACTTTCAACCTATAACCACGGGGAAGTGGAGTGTCAGTTTTTTTAAGTATTCTTAGGTCATCTTGCAGTCCGGATAGGTGAGATGAATGCATTATAATCATCACCAATTGTATGATTAGAATCAATGTAATCTGGGGTAAGAAACTCCTTCCAACATATAAAAGCGTACTTGATCGTCTGTTATAGGTAACAAACAAAGCAGCCTGTTTGGATTTCATTTGGTAAGACCGAAAACAAAGAATGTGACTGAGATCTGATTTATTTGTATGACTGTTATCCTCCTCTTCGTCAAATGGAGGCTAACAAGGAGTCTTTAGCAACTCCTTAGTTTAGTATGTTTCCTCAATTCATGTCACATGTCTGTATTTGCTAAGCTCTACCCACTATTAAAGCAATCCAATCGCATTTAAAAAAAAAAAAGTATTCAAATTTTACTCATAACAGAGATAAATGTGACAATACATTATGGTACTGCCAGGTATAGACTGTATATGCTTATAGAAGGAGAGGAAATGTATACAAATACTGTAGGTGAAACGATAGCAGCAGATAGGTATGTGCCATGTTTACCCTATGAGTCATATAGAGCAGGTTTTAAAAAGGTTTTTTTCCTCTCATTTAACAAGAGGATGTTTCAGCAAAACAACACTGTGGTTCATTTAAATTATGTTGTTTAAAAGACGAAGCGTAGACACGAGGGTCCATCTAAACCACATGCACACACCCACACACAGAGAAAGAGAGAGCAGAGCTACAGCAGATCACAGGGAGGGTAGACTGTCAAACAACAGATCCACACAGCAAAAAGCCACACAGTCTAATACGGATAGACAGAATTCAAAACGAACAAGAGTCTAAAAGCCCCTCTGCCAGCCCATAGAGACCGTTCTCCTGCCTACACCAAGCTGGACCAAAGTGGTTTGAACCTGCTGACTAACCGACACTGCCATCGTTAGAAACACATCCTTAGAGCTAGCTCTCGTCAGAGGAAAACCTAGAAATACACGGAAATGTACATGAGTTTTTCCTCACCTGCACAAGGTATTTCTGGCTGCCGTACATGACATATTGGGGGGCCAGACTGTAGATCATGTAGCTGGTGTGCAGAACAATCAAGAGAAGAATCATGCAGAGGAAGAGAAGAGCCTGGGGACGAGTTCTCTTCGGTCTTATTTTGTACAGCTTAAAAAGAACACATTAACATGCAGTTAATTATACATCTGAGAAGTTTGTAAGGTATTACAGAAAAAGGGGCCTCTTCTTACCCTTATCCAGAAGAACCAGATGCCCATGTTGCGAATGCCGGCCATGGATGTGAGTACAAAGTACATGGTGATGACAGTGATCAGGATATAATCCAGTGGAAAAACCTGTGATACCAAGGACAGAGGTTAACTACATGTCTCAAATGCAGTAATTATTGCTTTCAGGTCCAAACATTGAAGCCGGCTGCCTTTCAGGGATGCTTACAGTCGTTAATGAGCAATTGGTGTCAAGTAAACGGAATTACTCATGCTATTTGTTTTATCAACACAAACTGTACGAAGACTAAAAAGCTGAAACATTCTGATTTCATCTAAAACCTCAAGTTTGTTCCAGAAGATGCAGCAAATCCTTACGTAGTTAGTATCCCGCTTTTGGTGTGATGCACTTAATTTCTTAAATACCAAGGTCATACTTCTAAACACTGGCCTTAGACATTTAATCAATGCTATTATCTGTGAAGTAATTATTTAATAGTCTGAGCTTTCAATCACTTTTTTTCCTCAAAAATCTGCTGTAGAATACTAAACTCATCAGCCGATATTCTATTTCATGTCCACAGCCAGCGTCAGTGACCTAGAGACACACAGCGATAGCACTGATTTGATATTCTGTCAATCTTAACATTGCACATTTTAAAAACTTACTTATTAAGGCTCTAGCCATTTAACAACACTCTATATATGCTATAATTAGCGGATTACACCAAGGAGCAGAACAACAGTTTATTGCATGAGGCACGCCAGAGTAGCACTCCTAAATTTAAAGGACCCTTTCTCACAGTTGTAAATCTGGATGAGGCCATTTGGGAAGGCAATCCATATGAAACATCGCTTCCCTGCATCAGGTAGCGGATGTTTACAACCAAAAAACAATTTAATGCTCTCTTGGAGACAACAGGACGTCTCCTACTTTCCAAAGCAACTGATAACGGTCTCAGAATGTCAATTCTGAGTCTGCCCAGACCTCTACGCAGCAGGATGTGGCATCTCTTGCTGCGACTTCCTGACCCTCTTTACCTCCTAACAATTAGAACTTTTAGACAAAAGAATAAAGTGCAGTTTTACAGCCGGAAATTACAAAACTCTAATATTAATGATGTGATGTGACGAGTGATGTCCCATACTGGACTCAGTAATCCGAGACACTATGTCATTAGGATCAGTACTGGAGAGAACACTTTGGAATCTGATGGTGTGTGGAGGATGCACTCACACAAACACTCCGCTTTTCTCTCTCAATTTCACTTAAGACACAAAGAGACTTTTATCCGTAAATATAGATATTGCAAAAGTCTTATTTTTTTCTCAATGCATAAGTGTATATGCAAGCAGTCTGCTGACATGTATAATGACATTTCACAATTTATATCTATGCTATTTGTTATTATTTCATTAACTGTATAAGATAAACATATCACGTTTGAGCTCATTTAGTCACCTGAGCAACACGATCTCTGATCCCTGTATGCTTCAGAAATCATTTCAGTGTCATCTCTAATGATATTTGACCTCTAACTTTTCCTGGACAGTATTAACGTCAACAACCTCCATTGGTTAGATGCTGATCTGTATAATAGAGTCACTGGAATGCAACATAACCTTTTTGAGTTTTCTTTTACCTTTAAATTTGTTGATTTGGGGCTTTTCCAGTGTAACAGCAAAAACTTTTTTTCTGTTAACTCTGCAAGCTTTTGACTTTTTCTTTAATGTGGGGCTTTTTTCAATGGAACAAGACATTTTTACTTTTATGCAACTATACAAAACGTCCAATCCTGTCTCTGTATTTCTGAACCAACTCATTCAGCACATCTTTAATACAACACTTCCTGCGCAGCTGCAACTTTTTCTCTCTCGCCTTCTCCGTGCTGATTGAACAACAATTACTAAAGCGCCGCAAGTATCACTTTCTTTCTGCTAAATGGGTAAATTTATAAATTGTAATTGGCAATTCTAAAGCGTTTCTAAATTTATCATCAGTCTTACCAACTGCTTCCAGTGACGAGCACTGCTATTATTAAGTTTGTTTATCGGTTGCATACTGTCATTACCAAACCTGCAGTCATTTATTCATTGTGTGCTGTGTTGTTTTGTTGGTATTATTAGCTAGTAGCAGGTATTAATAAATTGTGTACATGATTATTATCAGTGCGGCCGTGTATTTATTTGTCTTTATTAGCTGGAGGTCAATGGAATCACAATTTACGACTTCAGCTAAAAGCATGATCAATATAATTCGATTTGATAATTTATTAATATTCAGTCTGAAATGTTATGAATTCATTTCCAGATAAAAGATCTTGTGTTGTCCTGATAAACAAGTATAGTTGTTGCATTAGGCTTCCAGAATTCAATGACTTATTGTTGCACAAAAACAATAATATGAATGTTTGCATTACTCATTGCTTGAATATTACCCGACTAAATTATCACTGCATCATCATCAGATAAAATGTTGTTGTTTTTTTTTCATTTTAAATCAGATTGAATAGCAACCAGTCTTCTTAGGCTTCAAGTGTGCAAGTAGTATAAACAAACAGAATTAAATTATAATTCAAGAGGTAAGAAAAGGAAAGAAAAAAAATGTTTGGATTCATTACCCAGCATTCCTGCATTTCTTACCAAGATTTCTTTGGATCATTTTTTGGATAACAGAATTCTCTTGCATCAAAGAATTTAGCAAAACATCGACCAAATCTTTAAATAACATGTTGCCATTTTCTGTTTTTAATCACTCACAATACTCAATTATTGGCACTTGGATTTGTGGATAATGCAGATTTTTTTAAGTAACAATTAATAATTCTTCCCTTTACTTTTGAAATTTCTTTGTCAGGTTTTCCTAAAAGTGGTTAGTAATCATATATAATAGAATTTGACTAAAGACGCAAGCACCTCCAGGAAAGAGAAATTAATCATATAGTGAGTCCTACTAAAACTACACCTTGCTCTATGTCCTGAAAACACGATTCAGTTGAGTATGCTACAGATAGCCTGGTAATAATCATCACTAACTACAAAGATGGCAGACAACACTTTCTATTGTATATTTCTACTGTATTTCACCTTGTGTGGTTTTCACTTGATCCTATTTCACAGATTACAAGTTTTGTACAATGATAACTTTTACATCACGACCTTTTAAATGAGTGGTTTCAGAACCAGATCAACAGCTGGGCCATAAAAAAAAAAAAAGAAAAACACTGTGACGACTATACAATTCATATTTTTTGAAAGACTGTATTATAAACATGTTGATTAATTTCAATGTTAATTTCTGAGGTCATAATTTGGTAGAGAGTAATAACTATCCTTTATCCTCGCCATTTAACGTCCATTGTGCTCCCACTTATACCTGTGCCAACTGTGCTTGTCATGTTAGAATTTCTCTCAGCCCTGCTCCCTTGGAACATTAAATTATTCTGAAATTAGAGCTGAATACAAAGAGTCCTAGTGAGAATGATTCATGTGTATATATTTTTTAAATTTTGTTATCTTTGTGTTTGTTGTTTGTTAAAGTATCAGTGGTGCCTGCCAGACCGTATTTGAAAGTGAGAAACTGCTAATTGGCGTTTCAGGCAATAACTCATTGAATGTGTGTAGCTGCTTTTGTAATTGAGATTTAGGTATTTCAGAGTTTAGCTGCAGCACACTGAAGCACGTTCACTTCAACTTTAAAAACAGTATTACAAGTCAATTTAAGAAAGGCCAGCGGTAAAGCTTGTAAATTATGCTTCATTTAGGTTAATGATGATAGCAACAAAAAAAATGTGGCTTTAAGCATATCATAATTGAGGATAATCATCTTTTCGACATGAGGGATGAGAGGATACTCACAGGTTGTAAGGCCAAAAGAAGTTCATTCAGGGGATTGGTTAGGTTGGTGCCAAAGATTATGAACCCGGAGCTGATGCCAGCAGAGTGGAGAGCTTTATCCAAACTGAAAAGCACAGAGGAAAAAAAAAACCTCAATATGTGTATATATCTCCAGAACATTAATAAAAACAGTACAAAGAAACAATTACAATATGTGTTTGGTGTAAGTGATGTAAGTATGATGTAAGTTTAAATGTGTTACAAGACATATCGTGACTTACTTTGAAATAAACAGGGCAATAGTGAACAGCAGTGCAACCAGGATGAAGAAAATACCCAGTAATATCTGAAAAAGAAAAAAAAAAACAGGTCATAAATGCAACATCATATCAAAAAACGTGATATGCACCAACAACCACAGGAAGGATGTGAGGGATAAGACCCCATTTTTGAACCCTTGCAAATGAAAATGTATACTTTCAAAGGCATCTACCGGGCGAGCAAATACACCTCTCTGTCATGTCTTTTGTCAAGGAGAGACCATATGGCATGGCCAGCCACAATTTGGCACTGTTGCCTACGGTGACAGGGGGAAGCAATGGCACAGCCCAGACAGAGTAGGGAGGTTGCAACCAGGGAGGTAAAAGGTGGGTGGCGGCCAAAAAGGCAATAAACCAATCAACTGCTAGGCTCCGAGGGGGCCTTTATAGCTAAAATATCTCATACCTGCTGCAGGAAAGAAAAAGGCAAATGAACGCGTATGGAAGAATACAGTAGATATATATAGCACCGTGTGTGTGTGTGTATTGAAAAACTGGCCCCTGACCCACAAATTACAAAACACGTACACGAAGGGCCGTGAAAAAAAAGAGTCATCAGATGCATGTAAAGTAAAAAGCGTATTGATCTAATATGTGAGGACAGCTGACATATACACATCAATATCTACACCAAATTATACCAAATTTTCTTTGACAAAACATCCCTTGATGTAATTTCTCAGTGATTGTAGCAAAGCATCAATTACAATCAAGAAGATGATGATCACAACACTTTTGTCACTATCGTTTATATTGTTTTGATGTGAGCAACAACTTAAAAAGTGGGGCGGCCAGATAGAGAAGAAACACAGTGGTTCTAATCTACTGATGAAGCTGCCCTTATTTCTTAATCCAACCAAAAAAACTGACAGGAGAATAAATTGTTTAACTGTGTTATGTAAACTTTTTAGTTATTAAAAAGTCAAAAAATCAGAAAGCTGTCATACATGAAACAAAAAACATTTCATGAAAAGGTGGCATTGAGTTTTATATCTTAAATGAACAGGTGGCACAGTTTTGTCTTTAATAAAAAGAAGAGTATTGCATAATACTGCATACTCCTTATTCAACCAGCTCTGTCTGAAAATGTTTCTACATTTGTTTTATGATCACTTAAAAATGCTGCAACAATTTTGTGAGGTCTGAGCACTTTTTAGCTGCCAATGGTAAGCATGTTTAGTAAGCCGTTTTCACTCACTACCACTGTTGATATAAAAAAGGACAGCATGTGTCACAATCATTTGGCGTCTCACTCTACACCAGTGTCTCAGCATACAGTAAATAATCTCCCAACTCATTACTGTTTAAATTTGAGTCTGGGGACTGCCATTAGCGGCAGCCCCCCTTGGTTAAAGAAAAACTATTATAGACACTGGTTTGAGATGTTTGCAAGAGCCTGCAGTGCAGTAAAATGTAAAAAGTATACTGGAAAATGAATAGGAGTGAGAAATAAAATGTGAAATAATGTTTAGAACGTGACCTTTCCATAACACGAAAGTTGTGATTAAACCAGTGGGATCTGTTTTAAATGTGCTTTACCACTGATAAGTCATATAAATGGAGCAATAAAGACAGCTCAAGCATACATAGCATTATGTTCATGTAAGCCTAATGTAATGTCTGTGTGCACCTATAGAGATGTTTGTGTAAAGTAAAATATGAATAGGAGGGTGTGGAGATTATTCCAGTGAATCATCACAGTAGCACTTTGGCCAGCCACATTAGTCTTCTCATATCAGCTCTGCAGCTAAAGCAGAAAGTGTGTGAGGAGAAAAGTAATTCTGGTGTCTGGAAGGTGTGAAGAGGTAAGATGCAAATGCATGGCACCACAAGTTTGTTTCTAAAGGCTTAGAGATGATGCACCTTTTCAATTGGAAGTTACATTTTAGAGACATTCTGGTTAGCATGAGTTCAAGTAAAAAATTTTGTTTCAGGCTTAGGAAAATAATCATCTATTTTCTGACCCGCTACCATGACATTTAAGCAGAAAATTACAACCTTAAATCTGTTACTTAAAGCCATTTTCATAACAGCCTCTGAGATATCTCAAATTCAAATGAAGTGGGTTTTTTTCTTGAAAATTAGAAATGCAATGCAGAGATACTTATGTTCACATCTGTTGCAACTTGGAGCCAAATGGTTTGAGACAAGGATAAATGAGATTATAAGGACAAAGGATTCCCTGTGATGTACTTTTCTCAAGTCCTGATGATTTGTGCAGCACAATTTATAACCAATCAATGTGATATGTCCAAAAGCATCTAATTTGAAATTGATCAGAGGCACAGAAGTGTGCTGCACTCATCAGTGCATCATTTGCAGATGTTTGCCTGTTACATGCCAATGCAATTGTTGGAACCAACATGTCCAAAAGCATCACTGTTTTTAGGTCTTAAACAAGTGGTGCTATAATCCCCCTCCTCTCTGAACCCCCTCAGATAAACCTGAATATGGGGACAATGACGTTAAACTTGCATATATACAAGGTCGAGGTATTTGTTGCCCAACCCAAAAAAAGTAAAATTACAGACAAGTTTATGGTTGCTTTGGTCTGCCCCTTGGGAACCATGAGATCCTGCCTGAAAAATGTGAGACTCCCTGAGAGACTTCAGAGTAAATTAGGTGAAGAGACTACCCATGGGAATCATGTAAATATGCGGTTGTATAAAGTAGAACTAAAAGTAAATCTAGAGCAGTCCGGATTAGAACTTGAGCACAAAGCAGCAGTTCAGGAGGAAGTAGTTGGGGCTCAAACTCAAGTTTTTTTTTAATTACACAACTATTATTAAAGAATCTGACAATTAGCAACAGCATGTTGTGCCGCCTAACCTTCTGACCTCAAACATGAATTGAAAAAGCAGTGACAAGGTCAGACCACTTGTATGCTAAATAACCGTTAGCTCATATCCAATATATAGACATTGACATGATTTGTCTTTGTATAGAATGTCGTCCACATCGAACATATGCTTTACTTCTGTCAATGGGAGCCAATTCCATAATGGAGACTCACCTTGAAAGGTCTGAGAGCACTGCCCACTTTAGTGCAGCAGTTTCTCTCTGCAATTTCCAGGTGTCTCCCCCTGCGCCGGAGGACCTGTAGTTTGCCCTCCAACTCCTGCAGGTTGTTTCTGTCCCTTGAGGACAGAGGACGTCCATCTTTACACTGGAAAGAGAAAAAAGCAAAACAATGGAACTAATTAAACCACTAAACCACACATGTGCATGTATGTTCTATGCAAGCTCACTTCTGATATGACCTGTAAGGAAACTTTATGAGGGTACTTAAACTGCAAAATCCTGGAAAAGAAAAATATGTAATTGACCTTCCCAGTGATTGCCAAAAATATCCATTAAGAAAAATTGCTTGACATTTACCTCAACATTTATAGTTATTTATGCCAGTGGATGGATATATGCAGCATTAAAACACTTTGGTCAAAAGATTATGGTGACATTTTTCTGACAGTAAATAATCAGTAGTATTACATACTCAGCTATAAAGTTGCTATTTGTCCATCTCAAGTCTCTAATAAGTGCTGCTGTTCAACTATTAACTCTTTTGTGTGTGTGGCAGTTGAGGTTTTCTTGCTACCTCTGTTGTATATAACATTTAACGTAGCCACACCTGGTTGTCAGTAAATACAGCGAGGCAAGAGACAAAGAAGCAATGACAAATGTGCTGGTCTTTTGTGCTTCACTTGGTGTAGCTACTGGCAACAAATAGCAACTAATAGATGTCTTTACTTGTGCCTCCCTGTTTGTACTGCCTGTATTTGAGAGGCTGGTTGATAAGGACAATGCTAACCATAAATAACAGCATGCAAACTAAGAAGGGCAACAAAAAAGATAAGGAGGAGGGACTGATCAGCTGGAGGCTATGCATGTGGATGTCTTCATGAATGCATGATTGTGCACACTGTGTCGAAACTGAAGCATAAAAAACTGTCTTCAAATGATCTAATATGTGTATTGATCCAGGTATTGTAAATGTATTGCTACACTATATGTCCTTTGACTTCTAGGTTTTGTTTCATGTTACTCCATGACTTGTAGTTTGTTTGCACTACATGTGTGTGTTTATGTAACATGCACATTGTGTGTTCCTTCGGTACGACTCACCTTGGATTTCAGCTTTTCTATCTGGTGCTCAACATCATCGATGTCCTCTGTGTTCTCCAGGCGTTCATACAGCACACTCCTTGTGCCTTTTATCAGATTCAAAGGCAGAACAGACATACCATATGCCTGAAAGACAGAGCGAAAAACACCATTATAATCGCACATTATTGTCAGAGTGGGAAGGCACATATGGCACGTGCACCCACCCACACATAACCACTCCTGCCTGATGGCAAACTCATCACAATGTGGAACATGTCAACAGTCAAATGAGGGTAAGCAAACACACACAGCAAATCATATAGTTCCTGGCCTCCCAGGCTATGTCATTTTTGGTAGTGGAAAAAAGATTAAAATGGTGGAATCTATAATTGTGCTGAGGTTTATTGGAGAATTTGCTGCAACCATTTTGTGTGGATATCACTGCCTTATATCATCCTGATGCATTTACAGCTTAACAGTGCCCCCATGTGACAGCACTATCCTCTATCCAGAATTTGATGAATTTTTTACAAGTATAATTTTAGGGAGAAAAATCTGGATTTGGGGTGGGGGCATTAAGGTGCCATCAATTCTGTATGACCTGGATTTTAATGAACATACGTTAACTTTTCTTTATATTAGTGGTTGATAAAGTGTATAAACAAAAGATGGCAGACACAAATACAGAAAGACTGAGATAAACACATTCAGGGACAGCAAAAAAGAGACAGTGAGAGAATATGTAGAAAAAAAAAAAATCAAGAGGCACTTTGAGCTATCAGTGGCTTCAATCACCCAAGAGATGTCTGAACTTTAATTAAAAATGAAGGACATCTTTAATACCAGAAAACCGACCAATCAATACAAATGAAAGTAAGAGCAACAGGCCAATGCTTTCACTGTGCTGTCTTTCTTTTACCAACTTGGACGAGTGCCATTTTATGGGTTCATAATAAAACAAAGGGGCCTTCTGTGCGAAGATACTTTCAGCACTGTCAAAAGATGCTGCCCTCTTTCTTCAATTTTTCAAGTGGGGAAAACGTCAGAGTCCATATTTCTCTAAAACAACTTTTACTAGTTTCTGAGTGTTAGGTAGCATTAAGAGAGCCGCATGGGATACTAAGTCAGGCTACACTATTATTAGTCTCTGCTGTGGATATCTGCTACGGGCGAATGTCGCCTCCTGCAATGAATCATGGAGCTCTTAAGGCCGGAGCATGTCCCGAATATCAAACACACTCATAAAAGGAAAACCTGTCCCAGATCCCAAGAGAAACATTCCCTTCCCCTCAAATGTGCAACTACATGAGAGAAATATAAAAGGAAAAAAAAAAAAAAATATATATATATATATAACACAGGTGTCCTCCCTACCGGAGTATACAGTTTTAGTTCACACATAAAGGTGCATGCTCATTAAAGTTATTTTAAAACCACCCATGGTCAATAATAAACATAAATTGTTTAGTGAGGTAGATGAGAGCGTATGCGTGACTCCATGTGTGTTGGTCAAGGGGGGAGTTACGAGTCATTCAGAGGGAGTCATGTGTCTGCCGAGTAAGAAGAGAAGAAGAGAGAAACTAGTTGGACATAGGTCTCCTACACAAGCCTCCTCTTTGTTGCCACGTGATGTGCAAAAAAAGGAGGAGGGAGTGCAGTTTCCCCCTACATTCTCAATACCTACTGATAAAGAGATAATCAAGTATAACATATCCAACAACGACTACTCATTATATGAGTTGTTATAGATCATTTCGCTAATTTAAAACAATGAAGCTAAGTTGAACATATATACATTTATATTAATCCTGCAAATCTGGCAGTGTGTTATACTATCTGGGTCCCCTGCCATTTGATTAATAAGATGGTTTTCGCTGTTTCAGGGGTTGAACAAGATAAGCGCTACAAGCCTGATGCAGTCTTGTTAGTGTGTTTGGCTATACTAGAAATAATTAGGGGTCATAAATGGTGCCTTCCGTTTTTTTACATAAACCCAGAATAGTGACAACGGAAGACAATATCGACTTGTTGACAACTAAAGAGACGAGTGCTAATTGTTTCCTCTGCATTTGCACACTGCGTTTTAGCACTTAATTTAGGCATTTCATTAGGAACTTCCTAAATATGTAGTTTACACTGAGAGCTAAAAGGCAATAGAAAACAATCTAAGCTTTGTACCCTCTAGCATGTTTCTTTTATACTCCGCATTAGAGAGGAGGTTCCAAGCATATGTCACTCCTCGGCTTTAGTCCTCAAATCACGATTTAAGAAATGGATGACTAACTAGGCTGTAAATCATGATTAATGTGATGTTAACGAGCATAAGATAGACTTCTCCCAGATTTTGTTTAGTTTATCTAATCAGTACTGACAGGTGCACCATAGCCATCTTAGAATGGTGGTAGCATTGAACACTATCAATCTGCTTCGTGGTCAGGCTCATTAAATCTTCAGGAAATCAGACACGCTGTTTCAAGAACACTTTACAGTTTATTATGGATTCATCTGGTCCCTCTCTCACAGAGACTATAACACCATCTTAAACATATTGTCATGTATATATAGTTATAAGTAAAGTCGAGTCTAAAGGGGCTAAGTGTATAAAGTTGAAAGTAACTTGTTGCGAGATGTAGCAAATACTAGAAGTATTTTTGGTCCCCTAATCCTTTCCACCCAAGATTGGAGTGGCTCCAACCTTAATTCTGAATGTCTCAACTGTTAGTACAATAGAAGAGTGACCTGGCAAAGTGGTATTTTGAAGAGGCCACTCCAATCGCAAATATTTAGGTATTATTTTAACATACTTATGTATTTAGTTTATGCAAATCACAATATGATATGCAGTGACGCAGACAGGGTGAAGGGCTTAGTCAACATTTACTAGGCTGCTGTACATACTGGGGCACTAGAGAAAAACAGCATATCTACAAAATACAGATGCTTTTGTTTTTTTTTGTTTTTTTTCTATAGTCCACAGATGATCTCAAAAACAAAGAATGCCAAGACACATAACAGCTGCCAAGACAGCTGATTTACTGAGCACAAATAAAGCATCTTGACTTCATGTCCTCATCAGGTAAAATTCACAATGTGACCAAGAAGGTCTTCATCTAAACCTAATTGAACCCAAGTGTGGATACTAGCTTGAGCCAATCAGTCACATCATAATGCATGTCACATATCAATATATTTTAGATATTTGCAACACTGAGATGAGAGTTATTAACTCTGCGTCTACCTCTACAATCAAATATCCCAAAAGAAGGACCATTTAATTGTAGCATTGGACAGGTAGCTTGCAAATGTAACAACTATAATAGCCTACATTATGTTTAATCAGTAGAAATACACATTTTTAGGCAATAAAGGTGAATCATAAACAATTTTACCAAAAAAGTAACAAAAAATAGATATTTGTAAAATCAGGAAAGACAAGCAAAATATTGCATACATAAGAATGAAAATATTGCAAATGATAATCATCAGAGTAATGCAACAACAGTCATAATATCTGTGTTCACTGATGTGCATCTGCACAGAGTGGGACAATTAGCCAGTTTAGGCAAGGTCACAGTGACTTCTAATTGGATATACCATATGCAATATACCCCAAGTAATCACACCTCATATGTTAATGTCATGGCCACTGTGTGGATGAATATCTTACAACGATGGGAGTAGATGCATCGAGTTCAGTTGCCACATTTGTAATTCCCGACCTTGACAGTGAGTGAAGACGTAGAGATCAGATGGACACATAACTCTGATTCAGCTTTGATGTCATGCAAATAAGAAGGTCTTTTGAAATTTTGGAAAGACTTAAAAACAAGATCTCCGTTTTTGATCACACTGGACGATGTGCCAGTATTTACTGATGCTTTTGTGAAATTCTGACCATGGGGTTGGGTATTTCACACAGCATCTAGATACTTAGAATGCCTGTGTACCATTGCTTTCTGATGTCTTTCATGACTTCATAAATATAAATTCTTTTCTGAATTTGTTGATAGAACAGTGGGTGGTACCCACTTATTGCACAAATGCATCCATTCCCTCTGGTGAAACATAATGTAGGGTCTACTGTAATGGTTATATTTGCCATCTACATCACTATATTTAGATGACCGTTCTTTTAGGGAATTTGATTATACCCCAGAGGTGCACATGGAGCATAAATAATTCAATGTGTAATTTGAATAATGGCTAGATTGCTTGAGCCAACCTGTTTAACAGCGGGTTTGACTCAGGTTAAGCCGATATGTGGACTTTCCTCGTCAGATGCGCAGTAATTACCTGAAGAAGACACATTGCTCTAATCTTCTGAACAAAAAAAATCTTTTTTTAATTCCTGCCTCTTCATGTTGTGTTGAAATTACAAAAATAATATGGTTAAACTTCAGTTTTTATACCATAAGAAACCAATGTATTGACATTTTGGTACTTGTGGACTGTTAAAAACAAACAGTCAAGGAGAGTTAAGGGCCTAAATGGGGGGAAAAAAATCAATTATACAGAGTGCACTAGTCTGGGTCACTATCGACCAAATGTATGCATTTAAGGGCTTGACAGTTGCTTTGTACATCTCAGATTAGACAGTGCAGCAGACATAACCAGTGTTTCAGGAAGGTCCTCACTGTTGATAAATATCCATCTATTTTTTTAAAAAGCAGGCTTGCTATATTGTACAGCAATAGCTTGAGAAATTAGAAATGTATAACTGTGCATCAAAATCATGATTTCCTGCAGCACCCTTCCAGCTGCTCCGCAAAAAAGGTGAGCTTCTTCTATGTTTTGATTTTGTCTAGGAGCTTCTTTACTTGCTGCTGATCTCGCTGATATATATTTGTTGTCATAAAGTTTGAACTTGATAGCTTATAGTTAGTACACATTACTAATTGAAGCAAGAAGAACCCTTGAATCATTTTTTTTTTTTTTTTTAAAGCTAGCTTTTGATAATTGTCTTCTTATAGGAGGCGAAACAGCAACACTTGCCCTACGCTGATCCTTTGGCACAATACTAATTAAAATTATATACGTATACATCCAAATGCCCTGTTATGAAAAGACCTGCTGTGGTTGACTGACAGGCTCCCCAGGCTGTCTCCAATCACTGGAGTGTTCTTTGGGTTTCTTAACATATTGCAGCAAGTTTGACTTATCACTCCAATGTCATTAAAGTAACTGAGGTAAGTCTGCTGCAGTGTTAATGAACTTAAATTTGACCACATGTGTACAGTGCAGATGCTGCTACGATTATGCCTGGTAAGCGTATTTCAGTATCTGCTGTTGAATTAGGTATTACCATCTGGGATTTCTATTGTGCAAAAGAAGCATATACAAACTAATAGAAAGCACACTTTGTGTCCTGAAAATGTTCTTTTAATGAAGTTCTTCCCTTTTTGTTGACAGCATTGATTATACTTACATACCCTGTTTTATTCAAAGTTGGACTGCAGAGTTCTAAACTTCGAATGTAAGTTAAAGTGATGTGTGGTCTGAGTGAAATACACATTATATAAATCAGATTAAAATATAAACAAGTTTTAAATGAAGCCAAAGATGCAAAAGGACGTCGCATGATGCACGATCTCTGAGATGGTCCTGATCAGTCTCATCTCATTACTATTTGGTACAATCAAGCAGAGTGGGCGATAACACAGAAGGAATATGCATGTGCATAGTAAAGAGTAAATAGGCATATATTTTCAATCATTAGCAGATGAGCGAGACACGAAATTAATTTTGTTATGTACTTAAATCACTTTCATTACTTATTTATTTCCTAATTAACGGGGTAGAGATGTAAACACAGGTTTGAAAAGTTGAGTTAGTAGCATGACAAGTACACCTACAGTCAGTGAAATAGATTATGTATGAATTTTAAGTATAATCTTTTCTGAGGTTGAGCTCTATTTGATATACTGTTGTTGCATGTGCCACCTGCAGCAGGACAGTTAAGACAAGAAGCTGCATTTAAAATTGGTGACTATTAACTGTTAAACACAATGGTTTAGTTTAGCAAAAAATTGGACAGATGGACACCAAACACAGTTAAACTGCAAGACAGCATTTGCTCAGAGAAGAAGCCTCTATTTAAAACAAACCTGTGTGCACCAAAAAAAAAAGCAGTCTAAACTTGATTTACTTGGTGTTAAATGTAAGTGCACCAGGCTGCAGTGTTATATACTGTCTACATCACAGAGTTGTTTGCATTAAGGGTAGATGGCTAGTTCTGCACAAAGGGGTAGTGATAAATTAACACGGGGGTCATGGACAACGTTTCCGCTGCTTATGGAACCCGTCACTTTGATTCCATTAAGTCAATCGAGCTTAGTAGTAACACATCGCAAGAGATGATAAATCACACAGATCGTTGCAAATATGGGTAGGTTGCCACCAGGAACAGCTTACCCATTTGTAGGAGAAAGCAAATACAGTAGATGAAAGTACACAGCGAGAGATAAAAAGAGCTTCTGCATTGAGTCTGAGACGATAAAAGAGGGAGGGGCAGCTGCTGTTGTTGCCCAAAGGCCTTATTTCTTTGATTGACTTCATCAAAACAAGGAACATCAAAAACAAAGACACAGTGGGAGTTTTGATTTCCACAGGGCATTCACAGTCCATAACAACATGGGCCAGTGCAAATTTGAGCACAGTTCCATCTTTAAAATGTATTTGATGTATTTGAGTACTCCGAATGTACTCAAATGTATTAGAGAACTGTGAGAGGAAAGTGAGGGAACAGTGGATAAAATCCCAGCTGAGATGGATTATATGTCCTAAAGGGAGATTGGTTCTACAACTTACTTGACTAGGTTGTGTATTATTCATTAAGAGCTCCACATTCAATTGTTGTGTAATTTGTCAAATAGGACTCTTTGAGCTCAACAGAAACTGGATAGATTGGGGTTGGCTGTCACTTTAACTCTCACTCCCTGGGTTGATACCCGAGTAGTTTTTTCCTTCTTCTTCCTTATATTATAGTAGGCACTTTTCTGTGTTACTCCACCCTGATACCAGCAGCACCACCTCCAGGGAATATTCACAGTCTAGTTACCAAGATAACGGCTATGAAAAATGGACGGCATTAACAAGTCAATTTTTTTCTGATCTGGGAAAAAATGAAAAACTGCAGAATGCTGAGGGAATCAAAATACAGGCATATATTAATGGACACTGAGGTAGATCTATATATATAAATAGACAGCAGATAAGTGGTTGATAAGACTGTGAGGAGCAGCCATACATCATGCAAAAGTCCCAGTTGCTCAGGTGAAAAGACAGCAGTCTGAGCAATTTGAGCAATTGAATGCCAGAGGTTTAAAATCACAAGGCATTACTAATACTGAAAGGCCACTCCATCACTCGGTACATCTTAACCAATAAGACAGGAAGACATTTGCGTGCACGCACAAAAAAAAACTTTAAGAAACAGCAGCTCAAAAAATATTTTACATAAACAAGTCTAATCAAAATTAAAATCATCAAAACATAATTACTTAATTAACATGCATATCTGTTTCTCCAATCAGCACACACAACAACCACTTGTCTCTGGTCTCAACTCACCGTGTAAGTGATCACCGCCAACATGCCAATCAAGGTCAAGGAGCTGATGGAGAAAGACAAGGCCGGTAGACCATCTGCAGGTGGAAAGTCAGGAAAGCAATTAGAGACTTAGCTTTGACCTCTGAAAGAAGCATCAATGTGCTCTTTGCCACAAGTACAAACAATCAAAAGCCTACTTTCTATGATGGATTTTGATGGTATTTCCGTCATCTGGTTGTTTTTCAGACGGAACGTTGAAGGCTGAAATGTTTTGAGCATTCAAACCTATACTGGTGACTGCATGAAATGAGTAATGCTGCAGCTAAATTTCTTTGAACTTTCGAAATACAGTAACAAAGAGACTTTGTGACTATATATCCAACTAAAACATTTGATAAAGTTTAACATAATTTTGTTGTAAACGCCTCCCCTTGGTTTACCCTTCATGGCAAGTACAACTCATTAAGGGTGACCTCATTAGGGTTATTTTTAACAAACAAACATGAAACCAAAGATTTCACATAGAAAGCATGCATTACAAAAGGGGACATGCATTTGGAAGATGTGGGGAAGGTGCAACATAAAGACCCTGTTGGGAGCATTATGACAAATAGAGGATGCAGCATTTTTGGTAGGAGCCAGATCAATACTAGGACCTAAAAGCCAAAATATGTTTTGCTACTTCCACAGATCATTCTTTCCGCATTCTGTCTTTTGAGAGTCCCTTCAAGTATAGATAAGAACCACTACGTTTCTACAGTACACTGGAGTTTGTTTTGTTTTAAGTGATTTGGTTGCAATGAACCTTTCAATGTCAATGTTTATAAGGGACAATGCACAACATCCAACAGTGTCCAATTGAACGAAATTAAAAAACTGATCACACTCGCATCGTAACTGAATGAACACCTGACACCAACAACACAGCTCATCTTCAACTGCTGTATCAATGTTCTTAATGGGAATACTGAGGAAATGAATTCCCTTGAAAGCAATGAGGACCAATGTTATTTACTTGGACAAGGACAATACATCATGTTGGTATCTTGGATTTAATATCTGCTTTTAATGAATGCGCCATCCTCCTCTAGAGACTCTTCTGGTGGACATTTTTCGTCATCATTGTCATTTTGCAAGTCGATCACGATCAGTGTTTAAACAGCTGGGTCTTTCAACGTCTGTAGGTTGACTTGATGTGTGTAACCTTTGATTGAGGCAGAAAGGCGACCACCCATCAGGCAAGGGCAACAGTAGGTGTCACACCAGCTGTCAGAGTTGGAGTTAGACGACAGGGATTGATGAAGAGACTGATTGCCTCACTCCCCTGTCAAGATCCCACCTGTCATAGGGTTCTACGCAAAAAGCGACACATTTGTCCCCTTACAGGTATCCTACGTCCTCTCACCGGCAACTTCATAATGCCCAGCCCACCTGTCAGCGCGGGCATAGGTGGCTCTCTGCTTGACTTTCTCCTTGACAATGGCATTTGATTGGGAATATTAAGTCAGTATTCAGGGCATGTATAATTTGTGCTGTTTATATCATTTATCACTTTCTTTTAGAGGCATTTCACAAGCAGCAGGACAAAGAGGTGGAAAATGGAGATAAATTATATACCTGCTCCCTATTGTATTGTATGCAAAAAGAAAACTTTGAAGTCTGACAGCTGGGCTGAACATTAACATTTGAATACGTGTTTCTTATTCCCGAGTGTTTTATTGCGATTTCGCTGCCTTTGTTTAGTGGTGAGCTTGGTAAAATAGACAATAGCTTCATGTTCTGCATAGCGAACATTCTGTTCATGAACCCTACACAAAGCGAAGGATAGATGTTTGCAGCCAGTGTTCTTGGGTTTCCTGAGCAGATTTTCCGGGGATTAAACATAGGGAATATTGTCTATTATCAGTGGCGCTTCCACATCTGTACAGCTTCGATTCCACCAGCAATGGAATAAGGTAGCTCTTATCTCACCCTGCATATAGCCCTTCAGGCTTGTGTTCATGCATGAGACTTGTACAGAAAGGTGTTTATTAAGGAGCTCCTTGAGCCCCAGCTTCCTAAATCTGCGGAATGACAGAATCAAGCAGGGACACAGCAGCATGTTCAAGGTATGGCACATAGAATACTCTATAATAGCCAGATTACCCACATGCTGCTGTCCAAAAGCATGCAGAGGATTTTAACATTGCAAAAGTTTCAGATGTCATTGTAGTTTTTTCCTCACTGTGTGGATGAAAGAGGTACATAATTTGTGAAATGAGGTTGAATAATAGCTTGGGTTTATCAGCATCTTTTGGGCGTACTGTAACTTTAATGTCATAGTTTAGGGAGAGCATTCTAGTACAGAGGAAAGATGACCAGGAACCTGAACAGAAGAAAAGTGTCAAAAGATCAATCAAGATGAGATCGACATCATCATTTCAACGCCCTCACCAGAAATCTGTCATCTAGAGCCTGAAACGTATTTTAGAAAAACAACTGCCTTTATTTAATCTTGTTCAACCCATGCCATTTTATAACTCAGTCAGCAAAACACAAACATTTGAAAATGCAATCTATATGTATAGATTATTGTTTAATTAAAAGCATGCAAGAGAATGTAAAGCTGGGTACGTGGGACTTCTTTCTCTAGTGGCTTTGATTTCAGAAATAACTATGTATTTTGATGGCAGATTCCGGAAAAACAAGACCAAATAAACATAAATACTGTGTAAAATTGCTTTAAAGACCAAATAAAAACCTCACAGCATAGTTTTGTAAATGTATTCATGTGCTTAAAGTGGTATCTCATTTAGCAGAGTTAGACATATTTTCTGCAAACTGGTACTGAAACCAGATACAGATCCATTTAGGTTTATGCAATTAAAGGCAAACTAAATCCTTATTGTGTTGACACCCCCTCGCACTTCTATGGATTCCTTTGGTTGTGACCTGTTTAGAACCTCACTAATAAACTCTGAAAGCTGTGTGCTCTGAAATACTGTTTTGTGCAGGAACAATTAACTGGAAAGTAAACATCTCTTTTAGTTTTTCAAAGGTAAACTCTTGTGGCATGACAATGCTTTAAAGCTAAGTCTAGTGCTGATGACTATATTAAGACCGCTTGGTTTGTCCATGAAAATACAATTATATCCTATGGAAGCTCAACCCTTAGGAAGGTAATTGCTAAATTATAGTAAAATGAATAGATACTGTTGTAAGTGGGGAAAAAAACCCAACTATTTAATCTCTTAAAATGTATAACCTTTTTCTCATGTTAACCATTTATTTATTCATAGATTTCGCCTTAAAACCAATGTAGGGCATGGTAAAAGCTTCAGTAATAACTGCTGTGGTTTACATTTAAGCGTACACATAGGATATATGCGTGTGTATGTGTAGTCAGCTTGAGATTTTTTTATTTATTTTTTTTTCCTTCCTCGCTGCTGAAGAAGGAAAAGAGGCAGGAAAAGTTAAGTACTAGGAGTCTTGCCCAAGTACTCTTAGTAGTTAAAGCTGGACTACCGCCCACTTCACTCCCCCTTGAGGCATGGCCAAAAATACAAGATTGTGCTGTATGGTCTTGAATAACAACATTAGGAGCTACTGATCTGGAGAACATTCAGGCATAGCTGGAACACTGTAACCAAAGTGATGCTGGAATCACTGAAGATGTAGTGGCCTTAATGAACAGTTGTTGCAAAGCAGTCAGGAGTGTTACGTGGCAAAAGTGCCTTTTCTTTACACAATTAACCTCCCATCTGGAGAGAGAAGAGATGGGGAATTAGAAAAGGGATGATCCTCACATTTCCTCAGCAGCCGAGCAATTTCCCCCCGTGCCAAAGGAGGAAGGTTAGGGAGAGCATGTAGGGGTCCACTATTATGCAGAGAGGCAGATGGTTCGACTTCCTCCTTGATCCCCACGTGGCAAAAGGCCAGAGGACTGTTAGGAGTCCACATTTGGCAATGTTCCTTTCTGCATTAGCATGAGCATAATCACAGGCATTGTTCCGTTCAACAAGTAAAGATGCCCAAGGAGGGTGTTTTTACAGTGTGGTCAACCGTCAACACTGGATTTTTTTTTCATGGGAAAATGTGATTTCTAATTGCGTTTTACACTGCCTTTAAGGCTACAAAGTCACTGTTTCAGAAATTCTGGTACATACAACTATTGAGTAATTAAGTCACGTATTGCTGGAAAAACAAATGGATCTGTAAATATTATATATTAAAATGTAATGTCTTGGACTGTGAGTTATCCATCTTAGCTTTTTCCATGATGTCAATACATCGACTGTCAATGAGTGATCACCAAGCTGCCCTGCTGTAATTCTTATTAAACTGAATAATGAAATATGAAGGATGAAATCTATACAAATCAACATAACTACTAGGGCCAAGTGGTGAACTAAAAATAAAGGCATGGTATAACATTTTTCCATTATCGTACATGTTACATGCACAAAACAACGACTATACGAGCTGCATGTAGGAACAATCAATAAACTTGACCGTGGACACTCCTGTACAGAGGTATTTGTGTACAATAGTCAAATTTCCAACATAATTGTAACTTACTTCATCTTAGTGTAATTAGGATCTCATGAACTGATCGTGTCTGACTAAAACAGTGGATACTTATCATTTAGCAACTAAACGTCCAAACATTTACATACTTTAATCAACACTGACTCCATGAAGCACTGCATCTGTTTAAACACATCAACCGTTACTATTACCTAGTTTTCTAGGCACTTAATAGGGAGAAACTCATATTTTTTTTCACCCAGTTGAACCAAATTTAACTTGTGCAAAACTTGGTATGGCCTCAGTTAGTGCTATCTTAAAAACAACACGTGTACTTTTGCTTTGCTAGCATCTGCATCACATCAAAATGTCCTCAATCTGTGTGAAAAAAAAACCAAATTTCATACTGATTAATGCAACACAATAATAGTTGAACAATAGGCAGATAATAAAAAGAAAGTATACAGTAAGAAGAATGATGGATATGGCTATATTGGGAAGCAAAGACTTGATATGTGCCTTACGCAGAGTCTTTTGTTCTCCTTTGTGTTTACTTATATTTCTAGCTTATTATGGTTAGAAAGTATATTTTTTAGCCTATTATATGTTTAGATTGTATATTTTTAGCCTATTTTTATGTTTAGATTGTATATTTTTTAGCCTATTATATGTTTAATTTGTATATTTTCCAGCTTATTATATGTGTTGTCTCTAAGTGTGGCCCTGTGATAGACTGGCGACCTGTTCAGGGTGTCCCCTGCCTTTGCCCTAAGTCGGCTGGGATAGGCACCAGCCTCCCTAGTGAGGATTAAGCGGCGTATAGATAATGGATGGATGGATGTGTAGCTTAAATATTTTTTAGTATGTATATTTTTCAACTGTGTTTTTCTTCTTTTTAAATGAGGGTTCCAGAGAAACGCAATTTCAGTTCTCTGTATGTGTACACGTGTAGCGGAGCTGACAATAAAGTAACTTTGACTTTGACTTAGACATTTGTCGTTCAGAAGACTCAGGGTTACGACAGATGAAAGGGTAGAATGAATCAAGCAGAATAACATAAAACGTAACATGGAAGAAAGAAAATCTAAGTCACGTAGAGAACTAATAGAAAAACAACATCCAAATTGAAAACAACAGAAGATATTTTCTAAATAGGCTGTACTTACGACTGCTTCCAAGCTCCTCAAAAAGGTATTGTACCTTCTCCCACTGAGTGGAATTCTGGCCAGGTGGGGCCTCGAGTGGAACAAACGCTCTGAAAGCAATGGCACAATAATTCGAAATAAGATAAAAAATGCATTTAGATGCTTCTAGTACAGAACATTATCAAGTTTAGTCTTTGTACTGGCACTGATAGTTTCAGCAGCTGGTGCATTTTCTCTACGAGCCACACAGAGATTTTCACATATAAAGAAAAACAGAGAAGAAATCAATGTTGATATATTTTTTAAATCATTCCACCACAGACAACATATAAAAAGCTGCCAGTGTCATTACTGATGCTTAAAGAGAAATACAAGAGAAACAGAAAAAACACAGAAAAAGACTATTGCAGAAGCTGGTGAGACAGAGTGACAACACAGCTTACACCCTATTTTAACAAAACGTGGATAGAAATTCACTACATTTACCATCCTTTTACACAAAACTTTGTCCCTAATAGAATAATGCTTAATGTTGTAAAATGGGAAAAGATGCTGTTCATAATATCAATCAGACAGACAGACCCTAATCTTTTTAATGTGTATGTGCTTCCCTGGCCACCAATTAAAATGCAGAGTTTTTAAAATTCCGCTGGTCATCTTCAACGCAATGATCAAAAGTGCCATAGTTTTCAAATACGAGTCCAGTTCTCTGACAGAGCTCGAACTGTGTTGTCTGAGTCTCAAATAAAAATCACATAAAAGCTGATGGGGGATTTTTCTTTGAAGGCACCAGGACTATGCAGGTGCCAGCCAACCTTTTTAAAGTGTGAAAGTTATATTGTTAATCAGCACAACAAAATAAGCACTATAAGGCTAGACATAAAGCTAGAGGACTAAAAGCAATGTTATTTGCAGTGGAACTTTAAAGTAAAAAAAACAAAATCAAAAACCTTAAGCAGCAAAAGATCAAGTGCCATTTAAGAAGTCAGACATCGTTCCAGGTATAAAGACAACAAACAACAAACCTTGTAACATCAAGCAAAGGCCTATGGAGTGAACAGTCGCCAAACAAAGCCCTATGTCTCCAGGTATCAGAAAAGCTGTCCAGGATAAAAGCTATCATGTTGTTGGAAATCAAAGGACCAAACCAACAATTGCCAGAACAAAGCGACAATAGTTCCAGTTCATGAGGTGAAAGATGGGCTAAATTGCTTCTGTCTATAAAATGTCCTAACTTTCAAACTTTAAGAGAAAGTATAGTCATGTGTCCTTTATTTTCCAAAACCAGATAAACCTTCTCCCCGCGTACCATTTAATGGTTGAGAGAGCTCATTCAATTGTATAGGCCGAACTCCAGGCATGTTGCTGTCACAACTGCAAAGGAAATCTATTATGTTCTGCTGTTGAGACGAAACACGACCAGTATGAAATCTGTAGATAAATGGAACCTGGCTGAGTATATTCATTAGTACATACAGTGTTTGCAGATATATATAAAATGTCACAAAAAGAATACAATATTCCCTCCGAATGTGTTTTGCTACACAGAGAAAATTGACTGAATCGAGTTTCGACTCATGCGTGCGAGAATAAAACCTATATTTAGAGAGAGGTACGCAGCTTTTTCTCCTGAATGGCTTATCATGGCCAGACAAATGGCACTGTAGCTGTTTGAAGGGGTCTTCCTCTCATTAACTCAACACAATGATATATCCACACCCCCTTTACCTGTCGTGTACTGAAGCAGAAGAAGCCATCCATGTCTCCAACTCACCCAATTAAAAGGAGCACCACGCAGACAATGACAAATCCAATTGTGTACTTCAGAGCATTTTTCACTTGCTGTAATAAAAGAAAAAAATTAAACTGGTCAATCACGGCCATGAAGTGAAATATTAATATTCATTGTGAACAAGGGGAAAAGGGGGTCATACTCCATTTAGCTGAGGACTATAGTGAGCGAGAGCTATACACAGTCAATGTAGATCTAGTCTGACCTGGTAGAGATAACATGTCAGTCTTAGTGCTATTCAAGGTGCTTTTAAAGTAACAATACAAAAGACCTCCCTATCTGTGAGAGAAAGTGCCTCTGTCAGCTCAAAACTGACACACGGAAGGGAGAAAAGGCACTATGCGAGACCTTGTGTTTGGCGCTCACTACAGTAATTGCACAAAGGTGTAATCACTCACTAAAACAGCTTCAAAAGACAGAGATTTCAAATGTTGCCACATTCAAGGTGACAATAAAGACCTCACTACGAATGCAGTGTTTCAAAGTTTTCACAATGTGATTAAGAACTAATAATATTCATAAAGATACAACTATTAGCTTGTTTTGAATTATTTTTCCTAACCTTTGTTAACATTGTGCAGCAGAAAAGTGTATCGTATCACCGTGTAATTCAGGGGTGTGCACGTGTTGTGTGAGCGCATGATGGCAGAACACAAAACACTGCTCGACGGCACCAGAAGTATTAGAAAAGTCTGCACCACATCTTTACTGGTCAATTATTTTCAAGAGGAAATGCGTCAGTTTTAAGTAGAGAAAGCACTGCAAATTCATGACAGAATTAGAAAAAGAAAACCCAGCCAGTAATTTTCAAATCACTTACCTGCAATTATGTAAAAAAAACAAAAACAATTTCTCTCTTAACAGTGAGTAAGGACAATATTTACAAAAAGAAGATGCAGTCAAATGAACAAACATTAATGTATCGTAAGAGTAATAGGACAAAGTCTAGCGTACTTAGTTTAATTATACAAGGAAAAATTGATTGACTTATTTCCAGCTTCAAATGAATATTTATTTGTTATTTCATCCATTAAAATATTTCTTTCTGCCTTTCAGCACCAGGGCACAAAAAAAAAACAGAAAAGAAGATTAAAGCAAAACAAATATAAAAAGGAAGGGCGTTTGCTTTCATATTTTGTCATGTAAAATGTGCAACCAAATAGGTTTGTGTTGCCTCGAGCTGGCTGGAAAGTTCAACTGGAATTACTTGAGGATATTTTTTGGCATTTACATATTGGTCAGAAGCACCTGAATCACCTGAATAAAATTTGAATTTCTCAGCAGCACATCTAAGCAGGCTACAGCGCTGTGTGTGGAAGAAGAAAGGTGCGTTCTTACCGAACACCTATTCACGTTGTTGTCATCCCTTTCTTCATAGTAGAAGTAAACAAAGGGGATCCACAGGAAGACGCAGAACAGTATGATGGAGTAAAGAGCTGTATGGATACAAAAGAAGAAGAAGACACATCTTAAAACTAGTCAAAAATATCTTTTTTTTTTGTGCCACATATATGGTCAAAACTGAACATCCATTACTTCCTCCCAGCACAGACGATGTCATATTCTATCATGGCAATATAAAATATTAAAACACTGCAGTGCATTTCTGCCAAGCGCAGAGCATGCAATGTTCAGTTTTATTAAAAGTCATTTCCTGTATTTTTGAGATAGTGTCAATAAACATGATTCCTCTGAAGCAGATTTGATATAACTGTAGGATGTCCTCTGGTCATCCACTTGGAATTATGCTGAATTTCTCTTGGCAGGCTAAAGGCATTGTAGAGTACACATCACAACTGATTTATGTAAAGAATATGCTCTAACTCCCCTCACCAGTTTATACAACGTCCACAAACTTGTCTAATTCTTTGTTTCAGTCACACTTATCTCGTTTTTTACTGGATACTCCCTGTTTTGTCTCTTGACAGCATACTGCACAGAGTTTATGGTTGTCAGTTTAAGATAAAGTAGAATGGTATTAGTAGTAGTATGTTTCCATTTTTTTAAGCTGCCAGTTTAACGCTTTAGCTGGTTGAATGTAACTGTGTTACATCCTACTTAGACGGACACAGTGACCTGAGTTGAACCCACATCTGTACTGGTTAACCCATGTCAACCAAACCGTCCTCACTAGTTGCCTCATAACCAGGGCTCGACGCAGGCTGAATGCTGCCTGGCTTCGGTGATTTGGCGTTGCTTTCGGTAAAAGATACTGACATTTAAGTGTCATTCAAGCGACTGGCTGAAAAAAGCGAGGAAGATGGAGAGAGAGAGAGAGAGATGAGAGGGAGTGCAGAGAAGAAGAGAGAAAAAGTATGCACATGTAGGCGATCAGGACAGAGCGCACATATAGTCAGATGGAGCAGTATATTCTGAAACCAACTTCTGTCTGGTCATTATGTGTAATTATTGCAGTGTAGTGGTCCAGATAATTCATCTTTTACGGCACTGACATATCTAGCAAATGGGTCATGGGTTTGGAGAGCAATGTTTCTAATTGTATTAGACCAATAACTCGAGCATGTTTGTGGATTTGTGACAGGAAACAACTATGTTTTAAAGAAAAACAATCTCAAGAAAGACAGAAAGAAGTCAGTGGTAATTTTACTATGCATTTGTTAACCAGTTAACAACATCTATTTATGATTGACAAGACCAAAACCACATGATTACCCCGTTTATACCTGCCATTGACATGTGATCTCTATCTCCCCAGTATGGACGGAAATAACTCTGCTTCTTGCTGGCAACTCAAGCAAGCCTGACAAAAGCTACAGGTAGTTTAATTATCATTAGCTGAGCAATGAAAAACAAAATAAGAGTCTACAGAGCAGCATTGTTTGCCTTGATCTATGATGTGCCATGTTTGTTAACAAGTTTGTTAGCCCATTATAAATAATTTGCATATTTAGTCTGGATCACATTGTGAGCACAATTAAGATAATGAGAACGCATTTTGATACCAGATGTACATTCAAAAATCTCTGGGTCAGATGTCAGCATCCACACAACATATTCAGTTACAGATCATATGTTCGGTGTAAATAGGGCAGTAACAACTGTTAACAATTAAGGAGTATATCTAGTCTCTATACAGACTTTATTTATCATGTGTACCACATGTAGAAGTCTGTTGATAATACCACCGGGTGTGTTCTCAGTGAACTAAGGACTGTGTTGTTTCTGCTCAGATTATGATCCAGAGCGCTGAACAATTGGTTCAATTAGACAGGAAACACGTTATCCTCTTGCCATTGTTGTCATTAATATTGCTTAGAGTTTCTCTTACAAAGCAGAAAATAATCAGTTCCATTTGAATGCTGACCGCTGAAATAGAAAAAAAAAAAGTAATCTGCATCAGAAAATGGTTTCATCAACTCAAGCTGGTGACCTTTTCTATGAGGTAGATGCAATACACCTGTCCCTGGAGAAAGACCTCACTCTTCTCTGATCCAAGCCTTTCTGTCTGTTTGTTTGTTTCTTCCTGTACCATCAGTTTTTTTTTTTTTTTTAGAGAAAAGACCAACACTCAAATGCATTAGGAATTCATAGAGCGGAGGTGAGGCAAAAACACTTAAATAGAAAGATGCTATTTCAAGCTGGGGGCTTTTCTTTCTGCGGCAAATGGATGTCGGTGCAGACAGCCCAGACAACCACAAAATAACTCATAGAAAAGCATGTCACAAAGATGTGCTCAGCAACGTAGCTGCCATTGCTGAATACCACCTTGAGGTGATAATGTGAATCATCAGAACAAGTTGCAACTAAAAGAAATGTCCAAGAAGGCAAGCAGGTTACCAAAACCACATCAATTTCACAGTTTCCCTGCATTTAGAAAGAATTTTCATGACTGCACAGGTTTTATATTCATGAGTGAAATCTCAGTTTAAAGTCACCAAAATCAAACAAAATGAAACATGAGAGTGTAAATCTTTAATGGAAAGGAGTCGGGTCTACTCATAAGTAAGAAACAACTAAACAAGAGCCCTAAGCAGTGCCTTTATAGCATGATAAACTACACAACTGTGGATGTTGAATGAAAAATAATTTAAAAAATAAATACAACGGAAAACTTGCTCCTGATACCACTTAATCCATAACACCAGTAGCACACTTCGGCTTCAATGTACATGTGGAAAACAAGTGTTCCATATCAGTCAAGAATGCATGGCCCCGAGCAAGTACAAACATGCCCCCCTGTGAAATGAACTATATTTCACAAAAGGCTCTCTCTGCTGCAGACAAATGAATGTCACTGTTACAGAGGTTTGCTTTTAGCCAGCTGTGTTTGTGACAGGGCATTACTTTCAATAAACACATGCTCATTGCTCCACTAAGGTATCCATTTACACTCATTTACAGCCAGACAAACTGAGTTTAGGATGATGCCAGGAGCCAATAAATGCAAGCCATGCACAGTATGCAGCCGCTGGCATATGCTTGCAGGTTAAAGCAATGGGTAAAATTAATCATAACACCATGAATATTAACATACTGAGAGAATAGGTCATACTGCATTACCATGAATCATCCATTACTCTCTATGCAGATCTTTTACTGGGAAGAACGCCTGACCAGGGATAAAAGTTTAGCGCATTCATCCCTGTGACAGAGTAGAGGACTAAATAATTAAACGTCCTTAACCCTTTGTATAGTTGTAGTGTTCATATATATAGTACACAATAGACTCCAGTTTACTCATAGGGCAAGCATGAAATAAAATAAAAAAAACCTTATATTCAAGGATCGATAGTTATAAAAGCCAGAGTGCCAGCTGGGGAGAGAATGTGAGGTCATCAGCGCAAGTAATAGTTATTTACCTCTCAGTGTTTCCATGGTTATTTGTAGTTTTCGCCATTACCTGCTATCATTCATTAAGCACCATCTAAGGCTTTACGAGGAACATTAGAGCCACGTCCTTACCTTACTGTGGCTGTTTACAGGGGCATTAACACCTGGACTCTTGTACCTTTCAGAGAAGTAAAATGTATTACATTTTTGTGAAAATTAAATGCCAGGGGAGATTTCTCACAGAAACACTGTCTCGGACAAAGGACTCCTGAGACAGATGAAAATATCTGTCAGTACAGACACCTGCTGAAAGCTATGACAGTTCGAGCTTGCACTCTCATTGCCGGAAAACATCAACGGAGGCTCCCTTATTGGAGGGCCAAACATGAGATACAACACTAATGAATATTAGACTTGCACTTGACAGGTATGTGCAGGACTCTGACTCAATACAGTACATGTGCAGCTCTGTTTCTGCTGGATATGCGAGCAAACAGATGTTTGTTAGCTGATGGACTCTCAGAGCTTACTGCTGTCAGCTGGTATCGGACTTGTTCTTTTACCCATTTAATTCAGGAAAAAGCGAGGTATGTTCATGGAAGATATAAATATATTCAGTTTCTATACTGAATGTGCATTTCTTTAATAATACAACAGCTTTCAGAATCACTCAACAGCAGAATAGTTCAGTCTGCATTGCATCCATGGTAGGAAATTAATGTTTTAACAATGTCTATGTGTTCCGTAAGTATAGAGATATAGGTTAAGTGATTGTTAGCAAATACCTTATTTAAATTAGCTGACAGCAAAACCAAACACAGCTCATCCAAGGTCTAGCAGTATTTTTTTCTGTACATAACTGTCATGGAATGTATAGCAGTGGCAACACAAACATTCAGACAACTCAACCCTATTCAGACATAAATGTGGCAGGGAAAGGAACACAGCTTTGTTTACCTACCATGTCTACAAGGTTAAGAGTTTTCTTTGTTTGTTTTTTTAATTAAAGAGTGAAATTATTATGACACTGACACATACTGCATTTCTTCCAATGTCGAAGTGTGTCAATTATACTGTGCTTTAAGAATAAATACAATATGAAGGTGTTCCTGCTGACTCCCATTTTCTGTGGTGTATTTGCAGCATGTTTGCATAAACTGGGATGTTTGTGGGACAGACGCTAGTTTTGACTACCACTCCAAACTAATGGCAGGAAGCAGACAACCCAACGCCTAACTTCAAATGGAGTCTTTGGAAACCTGCAGGTGTTACGTAGAACATGTGTTTGACCTCTATTTTAAATATTTAAAAAACTGTAAGGTGAGAAGAGGAGATTCATTCCTTTCTTTAAAGCATGTGTCTGCAGACATACATGCATGCAAAGGAGTTTGTGAGAAGTTGTTGATACTTCATGGTGCTACTTCAGAGAGCTTTTCCAGGGAAAATCACATATTTCTATTAACCGATTTAAAGAAATCAGGAAAGAGAATGTTATGAAACTGAATACACATGACAAAAGAAAGTGGCTGCAGTCAGAATAAGTTTTCATCAACCTTGTCTGCTTTCTGGAAGGCTAACAGTAAACGAAGCATTCATAATGTGTTACCTAATTATTGCATATACATATTTAGAAAACAGTGGAAAA